CATACACTAGACTACTGCCATGTCAGGTATAAAGTGATAGAAGTTCTAGATAGTTATAACTACTGTCTTGATATATTATCAGAGATTCATGATGTATTTCACATGAGCTTGCTTTATCATACTGTCACTGATCTGTTCTCTTCTCAGCTGACTTCTGACTGACAGTCACCAGGCATCATAGAAGAAGATAATGAGCTTGAGTGAGAGATTGAAGATATTCTCAATAAGAGATTTCACAGCTGTGACTGATAATATCTGATAAAATGAGTCAGCTATGATCAACTGATCTGAACTTCAAGTTTCATGTTATCTGAAACAGCAGCTCTTGACTGATGAGAACTGCTTCTGAAAAGAGAAGGCTAATGTGACGGGCTGTGCCTGATCAATTATATAGACTATTTCATTACACTTCATAGATTCTTCCATTTCCAATCACTGATCTGTGGCTGCTATGAACGCGTGTAGCATACACTCTGATTCTCAGCCATTTCTGATCACTGATCCGTGGCCGCTATAAACGCGTGTAGCATATGCTCTGATTCTCAGCCATTTCCAATCATCAATTCTCAGCTGCTATGAATGTGTGTATATTCTTCCACTCCGAAGCTCCACCATGTACACCACCACATACACATATAAATATTCACCTCAATTGCTGATTCTCGCACTTTCTCTTTCTTTCCTTCTCTAATGTTTTTATCTTTGTTATATAAGATCTATAATATTATACCAATCTATTCGGCGCAGGCCTCTTACAAGTATTCATTATTGAAGATGAATGTATATAACATCTCTTTACAGATTTTAAGAATGTCTTTTCAGAAAGAGAAGCAGTGAAGTTTCCTGATATTAAGATATAATATAAGATTCATCTTAAAGATAGTGTAATGATATTATACAGATCTCTTTATAACTTATCTATAAAGAAATTGAATGTTCTGTATAAATATCTTGAAGAAGTATAATCAAAGAACTGAATACATTTATCAAAGAGTCTGACAGAGATGTCTATACTCTTTATACTCAAGAAGAATAATAGACTATGTCTATACATAGACTACAGAAATCTTAATAAGATGATGATTAAGAATCACTATTCATTACTGTTAATTAATGAGATGATTGATTGATTATCTGAAGTAAAGATATTCTCAAAGATTAATATACAGAATATCTATCATAGAATCAGAATTAACAAAGACAATGTTTGAAAAACAGCTCTTTATATTAAATATAGCAATTTTGAATATCTTGTTTTATCTTTTAATCTTTATAACACTTCAGTCATCTTTCAGATCTATATAAATGAGATGCTGCAGAGCCTTGTTAATATCTTCTATATAGTATATCTGAACAACATTCTAATCTTCTTAAAATCAGAGAAAGAATATGATACTCATGTTTAAGAAGTGTTAAGTTACTTGAGACAGTATTAACTTTATATAAACACTGAAAAATGCTTGTTCTACATGCAGAAGATTGATTTCTTAGATTATATTATTAAGATGAACAGCATTTCAATGAACAGAAGCTGAGTCTCTATCATTAAGAACTGACTGATGCTGTGAATTTACTGTGAGATACAGATGTTTCTAGAATTTGCAAATTTCTACAGATGATTTATCTATATATATTCACAGATTACTGCTTTTCTTACAGATCTATTAAAGAGAAGTGTGAAAGACAGGAAAATAAAACTGTTTATTCTCACTCAAGACACTGTACAGATGTTTGTGAAATTGAAATAAGCTTTCATAGATATTATAATACTGAATCACTTTAACTCTGATCTACTCAGTCAGTGTGAGACTAATACATTCAGAAATAAGATCTGTGAAATCTTTTCACAGTTGACACTGAAGATCTTTCAACATTGAAAGAATCAGAAAATAATTATCTCTGAAGAAACAGATAATGAATTATCTGTAAAAGAAGACTTTTTCATAGAGTCTATACAATACTGTGAATAAAGATCAGTGATCTTCTTCTTCAAGAAGTTATTACTTATACAGAGAAGATATAATACTTATGATCAGAAGATATTAGTAATTATTAAATTTCTTAAAATCTGATAATATTATCTTCAGAGTAGTAAGTACTCAGTACAAGTTCTCACTAATTATACAAATCTACATTACTTCTTGATAACAAAGAGCTTGATAGAATGTCAAGTCAGGTGAACAGAGCTGCTTTCAGAGTATAATTTCTATATTTGATATTATTCAGATCAGCTTAACTCTGCTGACACACTGTTTAGATAACTCAATTATAATATTATTAATGTGAAGAAGAATTCTATAAAAGAATCTCTATCATCACTGTAGAAGAAGCTGGCTGCAGAGAATTAAGATTCTCTGAAGCTTAGAAACAGCACTGATAAGACAGCTACATGACTCAGTATAGAAGATGAAAGAAAACTCAGATTCTCACAGAGAACTGATACTGAAGATTATGAGCTTCTTGTATTATATCTTATAATCATTGAATTAGTAAAGAATGAAATGATCTATAATCTTTCAATCTAACTACTTTTGAAATTCATTAATAAGTTATAGAAGAGAAATATCTCTACTGCAGCTTGAATTCAAAAGTTGAAGAAGAAAGAATTCAGTTTAAACTTGAAAGAGACAGACTCTGAGTGAGATAATACTGCTAAGAAATCAAGTCACTGATAACTAGAAGAATGTGAACTTCTATCATTGAATAATTCAGTCTTCATCTCTTATAACAGAACAGTGTATCAGAAGTTATTGAGAATTCATTATAATAATTTTCATACAGAGTACTTCAGATTAGAGAAGACTGAGAAGCTTCTAAAATATAAATATATTTGAGATAAGCTTCAGATAGATGTCAAAGAGTATATTAAAACTTATGATATCTATCAAAGAATAAAGATCTTATAATATAAGTAATACAGTGAGTTAATATCACTGTCTATTTTAAAGAACTTATAACAGAATCTATTGATGAATTTCATAGTTAATCTACTAAAGTTAACAAGAGTCAAAGAATATGACTTGATTTTAATTATTATTAACTGCTTCATGAAGATGATTAGATATATCTCTACTTATAAAAAGATTAAAGCCTCTGAATTGACTGATCTGTTTTTAGATATTATTATTCATGATCACAGTGCTCTGAAATTATTAATAACAGATTGAGAATCTCTCTTTATTAGTAAATACTAATCAGCTTTTTACTATCATCTTATAATAAAATATCTTCTCAGTATTACATTTCATCTGCAGACAGATAATCAGACTGAATACTAAAATCAGACATTAGAATAGCATCTTTAAGTATTCTATTTATATTATCAGAATAATTAACTTAAATATCTTCTAATCACTGAATTTATATATAATAATGTAAAAAATGTAATCTTAAAGATATCTTCTTTCTATACTTATTATGAATATAATTCTTTATTACTCAGTGACATTGTAAATAATATTTCAAAGAGAGAGATAGACAGTTAGAATATTAAACAGATACAGAGAATGAAGTATCTCTTAGTATCAGAAGTAAAAGTGAGATTGAAACTTTTGAATAAAATTCATAAGAAGACAGTGAAAAGTATTCATTATATTCAGAAGTAGTAGATAAAATACTATAATTGAAAACATCTTTTAATGAAGTTCTTAATAGAGAATTAAGTGCTACTTTCAGCAAAGAATATCAAGATAATAAGATTATATAAGAAGCTTAGTAAGTAGTGACTAGAATCTTTCTCAGTAATAAAAGTGATAAGTAAGTAAATATATAAGTTGAAATTACTTACAGAATTGAAATCAATTCATTCTATTTTTCATATTTTCTATTTAAAGCTCTATAAGTAATACTCTGAGATGAAGTCATCTTAGCTGAATAATATTGAGATTAAGAGTGATACTGAATATCTTATAAAGAAAATATTGAATAAGTAAATATATTACAGTAAGCTTCAATATCTTATTAAATGAGAAGATTATTCTTTATTAGAGAATTTATAAAAACTGCTTAAGTATTTAAAAAATGCTGAGAAAGAGATTGTAAGCTATAAGACAGCTAGTAGAGACTGCTCTATTATATATCAGAGATATTAAGTAAGAAATACTGCTTAAGACTTCTTATTTTTCTTAAAGAATTTTTTAGAGATAATCTTACAGTGATAAGTCAGTGTCTTATAAACTCTGTAGCACTCTTCTTCTATTTTCTCTTAAAGAGTTTTTTAGAAGTTTAATGAGACTATACAAGTGTAAAATTTCTGAAGCAGTTAATAAGAAAAGAAAGAAATATTTGAAATTAATAAAGATTAATATTATCAACTCATAAGCTGCTGCTATTCTAATAGAGTCACAGCTTGCTGAAAAAGTAAAAAGAGAGATCAGAGTCTACTTATTAATAATTACATTCTTATCAAACTTATTCTTTATCATTGAAGTCTCTGACATTAGTATCTTTATCTACTGAGAAGTTAGTGCTACAGTACTGCAGAGAAGTATACTATAGAAGAGTATCTCTCAAGTATTAACTTATTAATTTATAAAGTATCTCAGTTATCTACTTCAATTGAAGTGAGATTCTCTTCAATCAGTGATTAATCTCTGTAATACTTTCAACAGCAGTACTGATTAATTTCTTCTTAAGATTAGTTATTCTGAGATGTTTTTTTATCTCAGAGATTCATACTTTTATCTTCTTTTATAGATGAGTAAGAGAAATCTTCTCAGTCTTAATAGAATCTATTAATATTTAAAGCTCTGAAACTCTTACTCTATACTGCTTGAGTATCTAGACTTCTTATCAGAGTTAATATAATATCTTTCTATAAGATAATACTTACAGAGAGATAGAAGTTATTATTACAGATATAATAAAAATAATAAGAGTGAGAGAAGAAATAAATGTATAAAATCTTTCTCTTCTTTAACTACTTAACACAATGCAGACAAGTAGCAGTGCTGATCAGAGACTGTATCAGAGTCTTTTCACAGAGAGAAGATAAAGAAATTATGAGATTCTGCAGACTTAACTCAGCAGCATCTCAAGTAGAGCTCAGATATGCTGTGAAAGAGAAACTACAGATTGAACTTCTCAGAGTCACTGTCTCTGAAATCAAGCTCTCTCTGAGTTTCTCTCTGAATGATCACACAGGGTCATATATCACTGTATTAGCTGAGAGAGAGAGCGGTGTCACAACAGTAATAAGAGAGGCAGAGAATGAACTGAACACAGACACATCAGTCAGCAGAAGAGATGACATCTCACTGCAAGGCACAGTAACTATCACTACAGCTGCAAGAGAAGCAGGAGAAGATGTGACAATGAGAGCAGTACTTCTGCAGCTCATTGACACTGCTGTCTTCACCTTCAACCTGACTTTCTTGATAGTCACAGAGGCTGCAGCTGCATCATAAAGATGTTTATTACTCACTAGAAAACATCAGAATAAGTCTCTTATTATCTCTCAAGAATAATACTCTCATGCACTCACTATTACAGATGAGAGAAGAGAGAGAAAAATATATCACAGAGAGAGAGAATCTTTTTGAAAAAATTCTGTCACTACTGTTAACTTTGTCTCTAAAATATATTACTTTTACAGAGAATTTCATATATAGAATGAAATATATTAAGAGATCTGTAAGTTACTTATTAACTACATTTTCCACATTTCAAATTAATATATAAGAAACTCACTTATCATACAGTTGATTTAAATGAAGATGAGAAAGAGAAGATTTATACAGTCAGTAGAAAAACTCATCTATTTCTTTATATCACACACAGTATATATACTGTCAATTGATTGATAATTATTGCTATATAACAAAGATAATTTCTAATCTGATAATCTTGAGAGTATAGAGACTATACTCTTAAAGAGAAGAACATTATCACACTCTCAGCTATGTTAAGACTTTATTATTATTATTATTCTTTCATTATACTCATATGCAAGCGGAGCTTATGATGAGTCCTTGCGTGATGTTAAATACAGGCCAAGTGTTAATTATACAGGAGGAAATACAGGTGTTGAGACCATGCCAAGATAACAAGAACATAGAAAATACAAAGAAGTGACAATTAGATACATGCGATAATAACTTCCCAGCTCAGAAACATAGAGTGATTTTATTGAAGTGATTTGTACACCTCTGTATTTATTAGAAACCTGAGGTGCTTGGGTTCCGGATTTAATATATCCCCTGCGGGTTTCAAACCCACACACCTTGGTTTCCCACGCCAAGGCGCTACCGGGTGGCCGCATTAATCATTTGGCCACCGGGGCGCTATGTCAAGACTCTGTTACAGTTTCACACAGCTTATCACTTTTATATGAATAATTTCATTCTGTCTGAACTGGTTTTCAATTACTTTATAATATTATTTAAATATATTATAGAAAGATCTGATTAATGAATATAAGAATCTCACTTCTATATAAGATCAGCAGATTACTCTTTCTTAATAATGAGATACTGCTGAGATATCACTCTGACTATTCTTGCTTATGAAATAAGAGAAGAGTATTCACTTATTATCTATATAGAATAGCTAGATACTGACTTCTCATTAAAGAAGTCAGTGATTCATTTTTCTTCTACTGAAATATATACAAGAGTTACTGCATGTCTTATACAATCTTCTTAGTATACTAAGTATTATATCTGTGATATTCTCATAATAACTCTGTAGTCTACAAGCTCACTATTTAAGTAAGATAGTCAAGCTCACTCATACAGCTTCTTAAACAACTATTTCTATATAATGCTGCTGACTAGTCACCACTTCGGTTCCACTACATTACATTAACTCATGTGATTTCAACATCTACAGAATCAAATATAAAAGTGCTGAAGAAACACTTAGATACTCTTACATATTTAAACACTTTCAATCTCACTCTCTACTCATTATAAAGAATGAAAATCCTCATAAAACTAAGTATAGATGAAGATGTCATCAGTTCATTAATCAATCAAGATTGATATATCAATGAATAATTGAAGAATTATGTGAAATAGAAGTTTTATTCATAAATAAAAGCATGTGAATCAGCATTGTGAATATCTGATAATATTATTAAATATCTTGATATTCTGTTCTGAGACACTGTCATGTAATAGAAAGTGTTAGATTGATTATAGAGCATCTGACAGAGAAATACTTCTCTTATAACATTCATCTCTGACTTTAATATCAAGATCTTAGAAGCAGATAATCAATCTTAAGAGAATTAAATAAAGATTAACATACTTAAGAAGATATTAACTTTTGAACTTTTACAGACTCTTATAAGTGTAAATGAAGACTTAACTTATGAAGACTTCTATACACAGCTTCAGACATTGAATAACTGTCTTATCAAGCTTAAGAGTATACAGAACAGTGATAGAAGATGTTACATCTCAGTCACTTATATATCTGTGCTGAAGAGGAGTAACAGCAATGATACAGATGCTATGAACTGAATAGACTTAAATGTCTATGCATAAGCAAGAGTTTCTGCTATTTAAACAGACTTCTGAGTTCCTGAAATCACTTCTGAAGAAGTCACTGATTGATGTCAATGTAAAGTATGCATTAACTATAACTGATTAGAATATATTACTTTCAACTGCTAATCAATCTATATGTCTTCACACTCAAGAGAAAGATCAGTGTCTTCTTATTCAAAGAATGAATCAGTGTCTGTTCACATCAACTACATTACATTAGAGAAAGATTCAGAAAATAACTATGAGAATGTCTCAATGAAACAGGGAAAAGATTAGCTTCTGTTCAAATTTGTAAACAGAAGCTTGAAGAGATCAGACAACAATGATTTAAAGAGAAAATGACAATGAATATAATTCTTGTATCTACTATAATTAATAATATGTATAATATGAAAGCCATGATAGACAGTAATCTATGTCACTATATAATGATTAAATCTGAGGCATGGATATTCTCTGATAGTCAAGCCGCTTTAAAAAGACTTAGAAATAGTCAGATTTATAATGATCAAATGAATCTTGAACTGATTTTAAACTCTGTTTTGAAAATTCAAAAGAGAAGAACATCAAAACTGATAATTCATCTGCATTGAGTTCCTGCTCACATGAATATTCATGGCAATGAATTGGCTGATTCAGCTGTAAAAAAGGGTTCAGAATTAAGCAGATCTATTCAAAAAACAGTGTCCTGATCTTTCATAAAGAGAAAGATAAAAGAATTTTGTTTAAACAAGTGAAATGAAAGCTGGCAGAAACAAAAGAAGAGTATACATTATTCAAGATTTGAGACAAAATCAAAGTGGAAATCTTGTTCAATTAAATGTAAAAAGAAAATATTCTCATCTATAATTCAGCTGAAACTAGGACATGGTTATTTCAAATCTTATATACAAAGATTTGATGATAGATTTGATTCAACAGAGTGCTCATTCTGCAATGTGAATGAAAATCCTGAGTATATTGTAATGCATTGTGCATTATACAATAGTCTCAGAGTCAGATTAAAGAAAAAGTATGATTTAAATCAATTAAATATGAGGTTCTTATTCTCAACTGAGACAGGAACTAAATACTTAATAGACTTTCTATCAGAAACTAGAGCAGCTACAAGAAAATGACTGAATTCAGAAGTATCTGAATATGAAGAGGTGGAAATTGACTAGATATAGTCTGTTAAAACAGCTATACATCATCTTTTAATAATTTTGTTTTGTTATAGTCTCTCTTTACTGTACTTGTTTTCTTCTGTTCTTTTCTCTATCTATTTAATGTGTCTATCTTTAAGACTATGTTCTCTTTTCTTTTGTCATAATATTTTCAAATGGTTTCAAACTATCAGAAGGTGTTGAAATACTGCAATTTGTAAACAGTTTTTGTATTCTGAGCTGGAATTTTCTGATTTTGCATATTTGAAATTGATAAATGTATAATAGTTGACTCTATAGATATAGGAAAAACCCTGAGAACTGAAGATTCTCAGATAGATGTCATAGTCTCTGACTGCATACATCTATAATTGAAGAATAATAATAATAATAATAATAATAATAATAATAATAATAATGATTAAATCTTCAATTATAAGATATTATAATCTTTGATGTATTCTCTTATCAAAACTCTAACTTCTTGCAGAATTTAATAATCTAAAAGATGTTTACATCTGTTACATGACGAAATTAAACATAGATATTAAAGAATATCAGTGTGAAGATACCTATATATATGAAGTTAATAATCTTGATTATAATCTTATATTAGAACTTGTCTGACTATCTGAATAAGATATCTTATTTAACACTTGAAACAGAAGTTTAATATTCTTTAAGAATGATAGAGTTCATGAGAATAACATCTACAAGACTATGAATCTGACACAGATCTCTGTCAATATCTATGAAATGTTCAGAAAAAGAAGTTGCTGAAAGAATCACTGATAGCAGAATTATATATCAATTTATTTCACCAGTCTGACTAATATTAAAAAGACTCTAAAAAAGTTATTCTGTGTTATAATAACAGATTCTTGTATAAAACTCTCTTAATAATATCATGAATATCTAGATATCTTCTGATAAGATAATAATACTTCAAATCTACCTCTCTTACAAGGTTCAGAAGTGAATCACAGTATCAAGTTAAAAAAGAAGAATAGTAAGAACTCTGAATCATTATAAGACTCTCTTTATAACATGTTCTGAGATAAACTTCTTCTTCTTTGAAAGACACTCAATGATCTGTTAAATAAAGAATTTATATATATTAGCAACTCTTTCACTGCAGCCTCTATTCTCTTTGCAAAGAAATCAGGTAAAGAACTCTGATTCTGTGTGAATTATCAAGAATTGAACAGACTAATGAAGAAGAACTGTTATTCTTTATCTCTTATCAATAAAACTCTAGCCTACATTGAACAAGCTTAATAGTTTATAAAGTTAGATATCATCACTGCATTTCATAAGATCTGTATCACTGAAGAAGATGAGTAACTGACAGTATTCTAAACACAATATGACTTTTTTGAATGAGTAGTTATATTCTTTGAACTGATTAATACTCTCAGTACATTTCAGAAGTATATTAACTAAGCATTCTGAGATTTTCTTGATGAATTTGTATCTGTATATTTTAATAACATTCTCATCTTCACTGATGAATTCAGAAAAGAATATCAAGAACATGTATGAAAGATATTATAATAACTATAAGAAGCAGAACTGCTGATAGACATAGACAAGTATGATTTTAAGATTAAAAGTACAAAATATCTAGACTTTATTATAGAAGCTGATAAGAGAATCTGAATGAATTCTGAGAAGATCTCTACTATTCTTGAATGAGAGACTCTGCATACTGTGAAAGATGTACAAAGCATTATCAGATTTACTAACTTCTATTAATAATTTATACAAAAC